TGTGGACACAAACTATGTACTGTAGCAACAATCAACAACAAAAGTGTCATGTGGACACAAACTATGTACTGTAGCAACAATCAACATTAAAAGTGTCATGTGGACAGAAACTGTGTACTGTAGCAACAATCAACAACAAAGTGTCATGTGGACACAAACTATGTACTGTAGCAACAATCAACAACAAAGTGTCATGTGAACACAAACTATGTACTGTAGCAACAATCAACAACAAAGTGTCATGTGGACACAAACTATGTATTGTAGCAACAATCAACAACAAAAGTGTCATGTGGACACAAACTGCGTACTGTAGCAACAATCAACAACAAAAGTGTCATGTGGACACAAACTATGTACTGTCGCAACAATCAACAACAAAAGTGTCATGTGGACACAAACTATGTACTGTCGCAACAATCAACAACAAAAGTGTCATGTGGACACAAACTATGTACTGTAGCAACAATCAACAACAAAAGTGTCATGTGGACACAAACTATGTACTGTAGCAACAATCAACAACAAAAGTGTCATGTGGACACAAACTATGTACTGTAGCAACAATCAACAACAAAAGTGTCATGTGGACACAAACTATGTACTGTCGCAACAATCAACAACAAAAGTGTCATGTAGACAGAAACTGTGTACTGTAGCAACAATCAACAACAAAAGTGTCATGTGGACACAAACTATGTACTGTAGCAACAATCAACAACAAAGTGTTATGTGAACACAAACTATGTACTGTAGCAACAATCAACAACAAAATTGTCATGTGGACACAAACTATGTACTGTAGCAACAATCAACAACAAAAGTGTCATGTGGACACAAACTATGTACTGTAGCAACAATCAACAACAAAAGTGTCATGTGGACACAAACTATGTACTGTAGCAACAAAGCAACAATCAACAAAAAATGTCATGTGGACACAAACTATGTACTGTAGCAGCAATCAACAATAAAAGTTTCATGTGGACACAAACTATGTACTGTAGCAACAAAGCAACAATCAACTAAAAATGTCATGTGGACACAAACTATGTACTGTAGCAGCAATCAACAAAAAATGTCACGTGGACACAAACTATGTACTGTAGCAGCAATCAACAACAAAGGTGTCATGTTGACACAAACTATGTACTGTAGCAACAATCAACAACAAAAGTTTAATGTAGACACAAACTATGTACTGTCGCAACAATCAACAACAAAAGTTTAATGTAGACACAAACTATGTACTGTAGCAACAATCAACAACAAAAGTGTCATGTGGACAGAAACTGTGTACTGTAGCAACAATCAACAACAAAGTGTCATGTGGACACAAACTATGTACTGTAGCAACAATCAACAACAAAGTGTAATGTGAACACAAACTATGTACTGTAGCAACAATCAACAATAAAATTGTCATGTGGACACAAACTATGTACTGTAGCAACAAAGCAACAAGCAACAAAAAATGTCATGTGGACACAAACTATGTACTGTAGCAGCAAAGCAACAATCAACAAAAAATGTCATGTGGACACAAACTATGTACTGTAGCAGCAATCAACAATAAAAGTTTCATGTGGACACAAACTATGTACTGTAGCAACAATCAACAACAAAAGTGTCATGTGGACACAAACTATGTACTGTAGCAGCAATCAACAACAGAAGTGTCATGTGGACACAAACTATGTACTGTAGCAGCAATCAACAACAAAAGTGTCATGTGGACACAAACTATGTACTGTAGCAACAATCAACAACAAAAGTGTCATGTGGACACAAACTATGTACTGTAGCAGCAATCAACAAAAAAAAAAAGAGTCATATGGACACAAACTGTGTACTGTAGCAACAATCAACAAAAAAGAGTCGTGTGGACACAAACTATGTACTGTAGCAACAATCAACAACAGAAGTGTCATGTGGACACAAACTATGTACTGTAGCAGCAATCAACAACAAAGTGTCATGTGGACACAAACTATGTACTGCAGCAACAATCAACAACAAAAGTGTCATGTGGACACAAACTATGTACTGTAGCAGCAATCAAAAACAAAAAAAAGAGTCATGTGGACACAAACTGTGTACTGTAGCAACAATCAACAAAAAAGTGTAATGTGGACACAAACTATGTACTGTAGCAACAATCAACAAAAAAGAGTCATGTGGACACAAACTATATACTGTAGCGACAATCAACAACAAAAGTGTCATGTGGACACAAACTATGTACTGTAGCAGCAATCAACAAAAAAGTGTCATGTGGACACAAACCATGTACTGTAGCAACAATTAACAACAATAGTGTCATGTGGACACAAACTATGTACTGTAGCAGCAATCAACAACAAAAGAGTCATGTGGACACAAACTATGTACTGTAGCAGCTATCAACACACACAAAAGTGTCATGTGGACACAAACTATGTACTGTAGCGACAATCAACAACAAAAGTGTCATGTGGACACAAACTATGTACTGTAGCAGCAATCAACAACAAAAAAGAGTCATGTGGACACAAACTATGTACTGTAGCAACAATCAACACACAAAAAAGTGTCATGTGGACACAAACTATGTACTGTAGCAGCAATCAACAACAAAAGTGTCATGTGGACACAAACTATGTACTGTAGCAGCAATTAACATAAGTGAAACCATTATGATACAAATGGTGTATGGTAGCATCACTCAAGAAAGTGTTATTCTGACACAAACATTTTACTGCATAATGGAATGGCTCAGACTGAACTCGAAGTCACTGATACAGCAGTTACCAAAATATGCTGACTTTTTAAAGACAATACTAAGCTATGGAACTGTCTATAACACACTGCCACCTGTAGGCCAGTCTCCCAGGAAGCCTTCCACATGTGGAAAACAGCCATGAGCTGATCTGAGAGAAGTGCAGATAGGATCTTACTGCCTGGGTCAGCATTGATGAGGACAAACAGTCATCTTGTCTGAAACAAAACATGGTTTACAACAAATCAGATCCCACATAACTTTTCAGTATGCACATGTTTGTAATATCTTTGTTTTTCTTCATTATCTTCTTCTTTGCTTACTAGGTTACCTCTTCAGGTGTCAAGGGAATAAATTCTGCTTCTTACTCTTCTCCCCACCTCGACCAGAGACACATCTTGCTATTGTAGAGTTTTCCTGATGTTATCTTTCCATCTTGTTCTTAGTTTACCTTGGTTTTCCCTCCTCCTTTTTTTTTACCCAAGTTCCTGCTCATGGCAACCAGTTGTGGTAAGATGGGAAACAGCAAGCTTGCCTTCCAGCCCAGTGGTCAAACCCCCCATCAGTGCAGGAACTGTTTTCCCACTCCCTTAGACAGCCAGTCAACCCAGCCTATAACAGAGGTACAAGACAATTTCCTGGGAAGTAAAGCCATTTGGTCGCATTTGGTCACTGACTAACCATGTGCATCAGCATAAATCCAGAACAGATCATGGCATGAAAAATGGATCCTTTATATAACAAATTCTGTTGATTTTGCATCATCAGAGGAACTCATGTGGATATACTGTCCTGGATAAGCAAGATTATGTGGTAATGAAAGAACAGATTTTGTTGGCTAAAACAGAGATATTAGTAGAAACTGGACGAGCAGATATTCTGAAGATCATTAATGGAAGATATTATGTTGAATTAAACAAACTGTGTAAGGCTGTGTGGATACAGAATTCAGTGTGCATCTAATTAGAAACGACATAACGTCTAGTTTGAGACTGCAGGTGGAGGCAGTCACTGCTGCCTTCTGCTGGCTGGAAAATCAGCTGAATACACACGTCGTGATTGTAACTGACTCATTGAGCATGTTGAGAAAGGTGGAAACAGGTAGGCTCCGTGATGAGTGGCAGCTGCATTCTTACCAGATTCTGACCATTTCATTGTGCGTCTGTCAAAATAATTCTGACACAGTTTTACTTCAACTTTTATTCTAATGCTGGTATTTAAAACCCTGTCCCTTCTTGTGCTGTTAGTGACCTTACTGAGACAGTGCATTTCATAGGCAGTTTTTGTTTGTTTTTTGTTTTAGTGCTCTACTCAGTGTACATGTTTGACACCAAAAGCAATCTCTAATATGTCGCAAATCATTTATTTGACTTGAAATCTCAAAGATGTTTAAAAAAATCAATTGGAGGTTATAAGTGAAGGTAGATGAGCAAGAGATAGACACTGATATACCTAGTAGGGTAATATCAATAGATTCGATAAAATCATTCTCAGAGAGTTTACAAACAGGACAAGAAAGATATCCATAACAATTAACCTTGACTGAGGAGAAAGTATCTCATTTACGGAGGTAATGTGTGTGTATGTGTATGTGTACCCGCAGGCACGTGTGTGTGCCACTGTTAATTATTTTAGAATTTTGGAGTCTCTGTGTGTGGCAAGGAAGAACTGCTGTGAACATTTATCCAGAAAGTGTCTTTAAACAAGCATTAATAAACAGATTTCCTTTAAAGTTTATTTATACATTTCTAAGTGGTTTTTACCACAATTTAGGAATCACTGAATAAATTTTACTAAACGTTTATGAAGTTGCATGAAAGCAAGTGAGAAACATCTTTGTTTCACTGTCTCACTTAACTAACTTTTCTAAGCATGTTATATGTTTGTTTGATAACATTTCACTAATCATACAATTAACTGTTGTAGAAGTATCTTAATAAAAATTCTTTAGTTTTTCATTTTACTTAACTGGTAAATGAGTATGCTGAACAGAATCTGTAGAATTGTGAAATGATTTAATGTGTCACTTTCTAAACTTTGAAAGAGCAATGTGTCCCCTCAACACCCTTCCCAATCTGCTTTTGGGACTCGGATACTAAACCCATGGTAGTGAATGTGTTCAGTTCACAGATTTAAAATGTGTATTAGAACACTGTGTAAATCTGTTCTGTACAATACATGTGAGCATGCAGTAAAAGGTAACATGTTTACAGAAACAGACCTCAAGCAGTTTCATATTTACCTTCTCTTGGTCCAGTCAATAGTCCACCTCTCAATGAGCAGGACATTCTCCTGGGTCAACTGTGTGACAGCTCCTTCTATAACTGAAGCTTCCTTTCGGCCGTGGATGCATTCAGGGAACAGAAGGATATCAAGACATATTGGAATACTGTTCAGCCATAACTTCTGAGCCAAGCAGCAAAACTCATGTGCACGACCACACTGAAATTAGAGAACAACTGATAACTTCAGATAGGTATGAGAGAAACACATAATACTGTATAAGTGAAACAGATAACACTGAATGGGAGAAACAAAGAACACTGTATGAGAGAAATTTTGTGTGCATAACTTCATAATTCAGACTCAAAGTTACTAATGTGTTTACTAATAAATTACATGAACAGCGAACTCCGTCATTTGTGATATGATCTCTGAATGATATACCAAGAATCTTTAATAAAGATATAATTTCCAATGCCTGAATCTTCTTTTCAAGTTTGGATAGTGAGGTCCTCATTTCTCAGCTGTATGTAAAGGTACTGATAGCTAGTGCTCTAAGCAGTCATATTTTTGGCAATCTAAGTGTCTCTTATGTTGGGGAAACAGTACAGGAACAAGACATAAAGTGTAGCAGGGTCAGTACCTCTAACCCCTTTTTATTAGTGTTGTGCTGTTTGCACGACAAGACCTTTTATGGCCTTCACCATTGTTTTTGAAAATTTTCCTCTATGATTAACAAGCAACTATATCCCCTTAGGTCCCTACTCTTGTTTCCCACTAACTTTGAATCGTCTGACTAGACATGTGACCCGCACCAAAGCAATTAATTTGTAAATACCTATGTCCCGGCGAGCAAATGTCGCTGCAGAAGACTGCAAAACAAAGAGGGATAGGAGCCCCCTGGGAGCAGGCTAGTAACCCCTTTATAAACGATTGCCCGGAACCTTTGACAGACAGAACAGACACACACGAGACGGACAGGCCAGAGGATAGTCGAGGAGAGACAGAAGGCACACACACAGAGGACACAGACACAGACGGAGGCAGGCCAGAGGATAAACAGACAGGCCAGAGGATAGTCGGGGACAGACAGAGGATAGACACAGATAGAGAAGACACAAGACACAAACGGAGATAGACTGAGGCAGAAGAAAGAGGACAACAGAGGACAGCAGAGGACAGGCCAGAGGACAGGCTAGAGATAGAGACAGAGACAGATAGTAGAGCGAAGTACCGGTCAGTTTGTAGATAAAAAGATAGTTAAAGATATAAATATATATGTATTCGATTAGGATTACTATCAGAAACCATGGCCCTTTTCAAGAGGTCACTATAGTCTTCACGAATGATGATGGAACGGCTCGGGTGTACCGTTACACCGTAAGGGAAACTGACATTTATTATCATCGAGAATGGGTCCAGCCCGATTCTGGTGTGGATACAACTTCGGAGTCAGACGAAGAGGAGGCCAGAGCATAGATAAGTAGTTAGACAACATACCTTTTAGCCCAACCTGCACTAGTAGCCCGGTGGCAGTCAAAGACAATAGCACAAGTTTAGAAAGTAATTAGAGATAAGGAACACAACGCGATTCTATGAGTACTTAGATGATTCAGCATTCTTCAGAGTATCTTGATGTATTTTGTGACATTTGTTGGAGTGTCATAATAAATTCAGTGTGATCCTGAACAGTTGTATTCAGACACTTTACAAGCATCACCCACTCCACTAACGACACGACCATCTTTCTCCTCGTCTGTCAACAATCACCTGCCACCCTTGTGACAACCATACTGAACCTGGGTTATTTGATGAAGCATAGGCAGTAAAAGAGACGACTGTGTTACAAAAGTTGCAACATGTGTTATAGTAAGATACAATTGTATAGGTTTCCAACAAATTTCATTCTCTTCATGGCCTGAGATGCCAGTATACTAGAGGTTTTATTCTGATCAAGACTCTCCTTTGCCTTCCTGAAAAAGCACACATGGAAATAGTAGTAAGACTAATCAACAGCAAGGACAGCAAACTGTACATGCTGCGAGAAAACAGAATCACAGCAATTGGGGCTCACGGATGTTTGAGAAACTTAATAACAGAGAACAAAAAAAATGTGGATATTTATAGAACTTTGCAAATTTAACATTCACTGATATTTATGACACTTACTGAGACCCTAGGACTTGTCGATAACAGAACTTACTAACAACAAGGGACATATTGGCATTCATGGAAATTTTTTTGAGAACTTGACACTCATATACATGTATGTAACCTGGTGACTCCTAGATATGTATGAAGCTGTGTGACTCCTAGGTGTGCATGAAACCTGGTGACTCCTGGATATGTATGAAAACTTGTGACTCCTGGATGTGTATGAAACTTGGTGACTCCTGGATATGTATGAAACTTGGTGACTCCTGGATATGTATGAAACCTGGTGACTCCTGGATATGTATGAAATGTTGTGACTCCTGGATATGTATGAAACTTGGTGACGCCTGGGTGTGCATGAAACCTGGTGACTCCTGGATATGTATGAAAACTTGTGACTCCTGGATGTGTATGAAACTTGGTGACTCCTGGATATGTATGAAAGCTGGTGACTTCTGGATGTATATAAAACTTGGTGACTCCTGGATATGTATGAAACTTGGTGACTCCTGGATATGTATAAAACCTGGTGACTCCTGGATATGTATGAAACTTTGTGATTACCTGGGAAATACTTATATTTATTAAACTTTGTTCAAATATGGGACTCATGGATATTTGAGAAACTGTATGAGAACAGGGTAATGACACTATCAGTTATATATGGTATATACAACACACTTGTAGTAATCTGACTAAATCTGACCACTCACCTCTACTTTGTCTGCACTACATTTGTGGGCTGGGCGACCTCTGATGATAGGACAATGTGGTCCTTCAGTTCTCCCTTTCACAGTGAAGTCAGGTGTTCGAGCTTCAACAATCAGTAACACCAAATCCTTTACAAGCTGCAAAGGATTTCGCATGGGTTCATCCATTTCATTATTGGTCTCACCTGCAATGATACAAGTTAAAGAACATCTATAGAAACAACAAAACAAAGGATTTCGCATGGGTTCATCCATTTCATTATTGGTCTCACCTGCAATGATACAAGTTAAAGAACATCTATAGAAACAACAAAACAAAGGATTTCGCATGGGTTCATCCATTTCATTATTGGTCTCACCTGCAATGATACAAGTTAAAGAACATCTATAGAAAAAACAAAACAAAGGATTTCGCATGGGTTCATCCATTTCATTATTGGTCTCACCTGCAATGATACAAGTTAAAGAATATCTATAGAAACAACAAAACAAAGGATTTCGCATGGGTTCATCCATTTCATTATTGGTCTCACCTGCAATGATACAAGTTAAAGAACATCTATAGAAACAACAAAACAAAGGATTTCGCATGGGTTCATCCATTTCATTATTGGTCTCACCTGCAATGATACAAGTTAAAGAACATCTATAGAAACAACAAAACAAAGGATTTCGCATGGGTTCATCCATTTCATTATTGGTCTCACCTGCAATGATACAAGTTAAAGAACATCTATAGAAACAACAAAACAAAGGCAGAGACAATAGAACAATGATAGGATGAAAAAAGATCCACAAACATTCCTGAAGGCTCAAGTTTTTCATGAATGGCAGCCGCTCATGCCACAGCCATCCGTTCTGAACTTTCTGAGAAATTAACTGAAGTACTGGAAAGCAATTTCAGATCAGATTTCATTCCAATGTCATGAAACCTTAAGTCTGCACATTTTTTTTAAATACTTAGAAAAAAAAACATTATTAGTATCTCAAGCAAACAAATCTACAACCATGTGTTTGTCTCAGACATGTTCTAGCAGTTGTTAAAATTATTATAAATATTGTTTTGTTCTTATCAATTACTAAACAAACTAATTTGTATGGTTAAGTTTGACTGAAACACAATCTACATGTGTGCCTTATTTATCCTAACACAGGTAGGATATCATCAGGGCAATAGGCACTGCCTTGTAGTTTGCGAGTTCTTCAGCAACAACTAATGTGTGTGCTTATTGTAGGTTTTAATTTAGTATTTGGAATCCTGCCCCTACTTTCCCTAACTGCTTATTCTGAAGCTCCATCTGTGAAGGCATAAATCTATTGTGACCTGGGATATTAAATGGTTGCTGAGATTATCTAATGTTTTAATGTTTAAAATCCTAGCAGTTTCGAGTGTTCTCTTCCTGATGCCTGGTATTGTATGATGTACTGTGTCTTTAACAAATGAGTCTGCAAAATGGTTAGTTTGTCTTTCTCCTGCTCCGATGTTAATGTTATAACATAGCACATCTTTGAATTTCTTTTTTCATCTTTAGAGTCAAGTTGTTTCACTAGATTTCACAATTTATATATCCAAAGTGTTTCTTCCCGCTAGTTTTTTGTTGTTGCCCAGCTGGCAATCTGGCCCTTTGAATGTTGATTTGTAAAAGTCTGTTACTGAAGGTGGTTCTCTTGGCTTGATCCAATGTTTCTACATTGTGCATTGCACTAATTCATGGTCCACTGTAAGGACAATGCTTTCATAACCATGCTTAAGACTGAAATTATTAGAGCTAAACTGTCATCTTCTTCCTGGTCATTTTATAGTTGCTTTGTCTTCTGTGTCGTGTCTAGCCGGCTACATCCTTTATTTGTTTGTTTGCCATCAATATCCTCAATAACTTCTTTTTACTGTCAATTCCAAATACTATGACCATTCTTGATTTTATTAAACTTATGCTATCCTGGTTATCATGTCTGATTAAATATTGGTTGGGTAGAGAACAGACAGCTGGAAGATCTGGATTTTGCAGATAAGTTCTGTTAATGAAAAATATCAAAGACATGCAAAGACAAACAGATGATGTATCATCAACAGCATTGAAAATAGGACTATAAATAATTTATGAGTAAACAAATATATTAAAGAAACCAACAGCAGATCAGGTAAATGTTACACTAGAGAAAAAAATCAAAGTAATGTACCATTTCACCAGTTTCGGTATTCATTTTGACTCTTAAGGAGATACAACGAAGAAAATTATAATAAACGCTGGCAAAGCAACAACAGTATTTAATTCTTTAAGGACTATTGACCAACTAAGTGGCTTTTAGAATCCACCCAGTTCAGATTTTTAGCCACTATAATGGCGCATCATAGAGACACTATGATATTGTTTTGTTTGCTGAAAACAAATTTATATAAATATGAAGTTTGGCGTGCTATTTGCGTCACTTTCTGATAATTTTTAGATTAATTACATATGATACAATTTTCAGGTGATTTTTCTAGACAAATGATAAAGAAAAAGGTCTAGAACTGTTCATACTGCTCTAAAGTTGATGAATCTCAGCCAGATAGTGACAATAGTCTTGATATTATGATTGATAATGCATGTGACAAACCAACTGGTAATATTGTACTTTTGGATGATTTTGAACAAAATATTTTGTCAGATCATCTCTGTGTTGATCAGCTGTTTTCCCAATTTCGGTTGTTGTGAATTCTGACATGTCAGTCCAAAATGGTCCAAACATCCAAAGTACATGAAAATAACTGTTTAAATAAAACTATCTGATACTTAATTGAACAGAGAAGGCTTCTGAATTCTTAGAATTGGATAGCAGTGTTGCTGAACAAGTAATAAATAAGGTAAGCACACATTTTTGTTATGTAAATAATCTTTCATGTGTCTAACATCCTTGAATGATGTGTGATATTAATAATTTTTTTGTTTTGTTTTTTGTTGGCAATACGGACAATCAAAAGTTTAGATTTATTCTGCTGTAATTTCTCTTTAATTTGATACATTATATGTCTCTATACAGCCAATACCTTTTCTTCAGCAAGGTTTTAGCTTTGTCATGTTGCAGTTAAACAAAATTCCACTCAAAATTAATGCTGTCCAAACCCCAGACAAAAATGTAGTCCTAAAAGAGTTTAAAAGCCTTAACAATATATGGAGCTCCAAGTTATACAGCTTTAAGACCAAGCTTCAATTCTGATGTCATTGCAATTCTAACATATGCCAGCTAAAGTTGAAAAAGAAACGACCAAAGATTTAGAATGATTGTTTAATGCATTAAAGAAAACAAATGTCTGAGAAAAATCATAAACAGAAATTAGGATGAATTAAAAAAAACAGTGAGGAGATCAGACAAATGTCTGGACAAATACCAACTGCAATAAGATAAAGAAAGTGCAGATATACTGGGCATACTCTGAAACAAAATTAACAAAGAATTACAAAACAGGCACTGAAATGGGAAACAGTCTGAGAGAGAGAGAGAGAGAGAGAGAGAGAGAGAGAGAGAGAGAGAGAGAGAGAGAGAGAGAGAGAGAGAGAGAGAGAGAGAGAGAGAGAGAGAGAGAGAGAGAGAGAGAGAGAGAGAGAGAGAGAGAGAGAGAGAGAGAGAGAGAAAGAGAGAGAGAGAGAGAGAGAGAGAGAGAGAGAGAGAGTATGTCCAAGGAAAACATTTGGAAGAACATTATCACGAGATGCAAAAAATGCTAGGCTGGACTTCATGTCAAAAATCGAGAAAGTTGCATGCAATAGAATGAAGTGGAGGAAACGAATGTGAGCCATATCTGACGTCTAACAGCACATAAAAGATGATGATATCCTGATATCTAGAACGGGGTCCAAATGGAGCAATGATGCGCAATACAAGACTCTTAATGTCTATTAGCCTCTCTTGCTCAAGCCTAACTCACCTTCATGTGGTGGACCCTGTTCTTCCCAGCAATCCAGTTGAAGGTTGGGGTCTCAACCCCCAGCGGGAAACTGGATGGGACAACAAACGAGATAAAGGCGAAGGGATGAGCCTACTCTCCCTCTAAAGAAATCCTGAAGTCGGAAATACTGAGCCAGAAGGCGGATCAAAAACCACAGTACTACACAACCCCATGCTATTTATATGATTACACCGTCGGACAAATTTAATGTTGATGCTAGCCCTGTGGAGCTCCACCAGGCAGGTGCAGTGCCGGGTTCTGAGCCTCGACAGAATCCACCCCCAGCTACTGGAGGACCTCCTAGACCGTCTTGTGGAGTCAGGAGACGGTGGAGGATAGCTACTGACCAAAACCAGTTAGACAGAAAAGATCCCAAATTGCCTTTTGTCATAATGCACTGGAATGCAGAGGGGGTCAGCAGTAAGCAGGCTGGCTACAGCAAAAAGTTGGACCTGGAAAACATCCTCTATGAAAAGCATGTCAGTGTATGCTGCATCCAAGAGACCCATTTGCAGGCAGATCAGATATTTAAAGTGAGAGGCTACCAGTGCTTCAGATCTGATAGGCAAGGCAGGCGGAAAGGAGGAGTACTTACGCTTGTAAAAAATAGTATCCATCCATGCGAGAAAATGTCTTATATGGATGGAGCTGAGTACCAACTCCTGCAGCTTAAGACAAAGTGGAATTAGACCTCCTCAATTACTACTGTACCAATGACAAATTGTTAAGCCTCAGCTCTGTGCCGGTACCAAATACCAACTTTATTGCAGTTGGAGACTTCAACAGTCATTCACAGAGCTGGGGCTATAACCATCTCAACAATAGGGGTGAAGAGGCGGAAACATGGCAAGATGACCACTCTCTGATACTGATCAATGCCCCCTCAGATACTCCTACCTTCTACTCCAGAAGGTGGCAGACGTCAACCCCAGATCTTGCTTTCTCTACCCCAGATATATCTGGAATGATAAGTAGGGAGGTGGGAGACCAGCTGGGGGGTGCAGTGACCATCGCCCGATTTTTCTCACTGTCCAGAATGTACCGGTTAATACAGGCCCAGTCATCACAAGATGGAACTACAAGAAAGCCAACTGGGGCCTGTACAGACACAGGACAAGCACATTGTTGTCTGCTCTCAAGGTACACAATAGGGATATCAATGCTATAGTTTCTACAAGCTGCAAAAGTAGCAATCCCTAGAAGCTGTCGACACAACTATAGACCGTACTGGTCCAGCACACTCCAGGAATGTCA